CATAACAAGCTCAACACTTCCTAACTCCAATTACGACAATGCTACAGCTATTAATGTCCCTTAATGCACTACATCTATCCTTCCTTATCTATAAACAGGAAACATGACAAATAGTTCTAATTGTAACAAAGTTACCGTTACTGTAAATATGATATAGATTAGATTGTATTGATATGGTAATCCCGTAGATTACGTTTTTTGATTATTTTCCTATCGCACACTTCCTTTGGATTTTTTTGGATTTGTATATATATCTTGTAATCCCCAATGTGAGAAATATCACTTTAGCTTCACAATATTACATGGCATCATAGCCAAACCAAAATTAAAGTTAGGGATAGTTTAATATTTTAGTTAATTTCATTGGTGTTCAGAGCGGTGACTTTCGGGTCTTACCTTCTGTACCATCGGGTTCGTCATTGCCGGACCAGCCATCTAGTCAAGTATCGCCGCCAGCTTTTGCGTGTGTGAGCCACGAGTCGCGGCACACTATGCGAAACTGTCTCAAGCGTCGGCACGTGAGGGCTCGCGTCATAACAACACTTGGGATTTTGTTCCATTACCATTGCATGTCGTACCTATCACCTATATGTGGGTCTTTATGATTAAGACAAAGTCGGATGGTTCCATTGAGAGATATAAAGCTCGTCTTGTTCCTAGTTTTCAACCGTCGAGATTATGATGAAACTTTTGCTCGTATTGCTCATATGACCACTGCCCGTACTCTCATTACGGTGGCTCCTACTCGTTCTTGGACCATTTCAGGTGGATGTGCTTTTCTTCATGATGATTTGCACGAGGAAGTTTATATGCAGCCACCAACGGGCGTTAATGACCCTCCAGACATGTTTTTCGTCTTCGTCGCGCCTTATATGGTCTCAAACAGGCTCCATGTGCTTGGTTTGAGCATATTGTCTCTATCATACGGGCTGTTGGTTTTTTCCCCTAATGATCATGATTCTGCCTTGTTTATTCATCTCTCCATGTGGACGTACTTTCTTCTTTTATATGTTTGATATGTTGATTACGTGTGGTGATACAAAACATATTTCTCATGTCAAGAAACAACTTTGTTAGCAACTTCAAATTTCTGATTTGGGTCATCTTAGGGGATGTTTGGATATAATTTTTTTTTAATTAAAATTTTTGGTTTGGTATGATTAGTTATTAGTGGGATTTTAAATTTATATTAGAATAATATTTAAAATAAAATAATTAAAGTTAATTCGATGTAAAAATAGGAGAAGGGTGATGTGAAGTTGATATTATTTAATTATATTGATAATATTGAGGATAGTGGGATTGAGTTAAAGCTGAATTATATTTGAGTTACAATGAGTGATTGGTTAAATGACTGAATATTTTTAGATAAATTTGTATCCAAGCATCCCCTTAGCTAGGCATTGAGGTGATGTACTCTTGGCCTATTACCTTTCTTAGTCCAAATGCATACAAGATCTTCAATCCATATTACTAATAATCGGAAAACGACTACACCTATGGAACTTCATTTGCAACTTTGTTCTACTAATGGAACGCCTCTTGAAGATCCTCTCGATATCGGCATATTATGGGCACTTTGGATTGTCTTACTGGTTAAATACTGCTCAGGTTTCTCATACATTAAGTCACTTCGTGAGTGCTCATTCACTTTTTACATTTGCTTCAGGTGTTACGACACTTAGAGGGGAACGTCATCTCAGTGTTTGTTCATGTCTGATATTGCTCGTGTTGCTTATATATTGAGTCACTTTGTGAATGCTCATACTTCAGTTCATTTTTTACATTTTCTTCGGGTATTACAACACTTAAGGGGCATGTCATCTCAGTGTTTATTTTATGCTCGTGATAGTCGCTTCAACTTCATGCTTACTCGGGACTTTACTTGAACGAGTAACCCATCATATCGTTGTTTTACATTTTTCTTGAATCTTCCGCTCTTACATGGAAGTCCAAGAAGCAGTCCGTTGTATCTTGATCTAGCGCAGAGGCGAAACTTCAAGCACTTGCCACTATTACTTCATAAATTATTTCGATGGTTAGCTTATTTTGGTATTCCATGTGATCCTCCTACACCTCTTCTTTTTTGTGATAATACGGGAGCCATACAAAATTGTCATATTAGTGTGAAACATGAACTTACAAAACATATTAGTATCGATGCGTCTTTACCCAATCTCATTGTCATAGAAAACAATTGTTCTTCAATTGCAAGTGGTAGATTTCTTCACCAAAGCACAACTAGAGAACATCAGCTTCACTTGTTCAAACTCAATGATTCGAACCCCCCACCTCCACCTCCACCTCCACCTCCACCTCCACCTCTATCTCCACCTCCACCTTGAGTTGAAGTGTTAAGTATATCAAGGGACATATAGCTCATCTATATATGTGGTTATTCACATCAAAGGATGCATACATTCAAAAATCCTAGGTTTGTAAGAGGTGGAACTCATCTCCAAAAGCTAGCTCAAAGGTAGAGGGTGTCTAACATAAAATCGTGCGCAATAAACCTAGTAACTAGATGTGAGACAAACATAACTTTTAACGAATGGTAGTGCAGTAAACTATAAATTTGGATATAAATACCTAAATTCAGGTAATCAAGGCAATTGTGCTTGGAATTTAAATCCCTTATTGATTCCACGAAACACTAAATATCCCGAAATCCCACACATGAGATGATAAATAGGCACGAGTAGAACTCCCCAAAATCTAGATCAAATGGGAGAAGGTGCCCAACCCACACTTGTACACGATAATAGCCCAGAAACTAATCGGTTGGACAAACCTAACTTCTAACACCCTCCCTCACGCGCAGCGTATCAAACAAATAGGTTGGATCCAAACCCAACCAACGGCACCATACAAACAAAACCAGTGTTATGTTGGACAAACATATATAACACCCGTCTTACGCGTGCCAAACCAAATGGGTCGGGCTTAAACCCACATCACCAAACAAACACAACTTGGGTGCTCTGGTACCATGTAAATGGATTTGGATAGAACGCATCTCTAAAAGTTATCTCAAAAGGAGAGGGTGCTTAATCCACACTTACACAGCCCAATAACTAATCGTTGTAGGATAAACATAACTTCTAAAATTAGGAAAGCAGAGATTATACTAATTAAATCAATTAAGTCTCAAACCATTCTCTTAATTCACTAGAATTATGTAAATGGATTCCAAATTAGAAAATCCATTAATTTAATCATTTTTTTTTTCATAAAAGAGGTACATATATAGATGGATTGGGATCTAAAAGAACAACAGAAAATTGGTAAATTCCAAATTCCAGGTCATTTATAAGAAACAATCGTTATTTTTTCCAACTCCTAAAGTAAAGCTATATTAACAGTTACACACCTGACCTACACATCTGACCCACGGTAAAGATGCTTAGGCAAAGGTCGGGGTATTGGATGCTAGAAAGGCAACCAAAGAAAAAAAAA